TTTTTTTTCTTATTTTTGAATTAGTTATATAAATTGAAATCAGATTAGTTTAAAATTAGATAATATATAAATCTACATACATATGTATATATATATATATATATATATATATATATATATATAAAGCCTTTGGTTCGGATCGAACATAGGCCTCCTCTTCAACTTTCCACCGACTTATGTCTCCGGCCACTTACATGGAGTTAATTCCAGCCATGGATATATAAATCAGTATTTTGCAATTACTTTTTAATACAAACGACTTTAAACTTGTATGCATACTCACATAAATTCACTCAAGTGCATCAGTTTCACCATCTCTCACTCTCTTAGCAATGCTAAATGTGTCATCAAAATCTAATACTTTTAAATGTGAAATGTTCAACCCTTTACTTTCACTTTCGCCTAGCGTTTTATCTGACAGCCATTATCTAAATGCGAACGGTGGAGTCACACCCGACTCGCGCCACTTTGCGTGTAAAACGTTAGGTTCTCGATAACGTCAGAACGTAGCCAACTTTTTATTAATACCATCAACTTACCTGGCGGTTTATTGCACCTTTTTATTAATATTTTTATTAAATAAAAGTGCAATATTTGCAAAAACGATCTCTCAGTATTAATACGGCTAATTAAATTAAGTGATAACTAAAAGAACTAATATAAGAATGTTATTATTCACCACGAGTAAAAAAAGAATTGGTAATTAAGTCTGACTTATAATTATATAAATAAAATGGATAACGCTAATCTAAGAATAAATTATTATATTGAAAACTACAACGGCCAAACGCGTGAATATCAAATACTTATAATCCTAAAATGCACAATCAAACACATTCATTTTCTATCATTATCAGTATATTACATATAAATTCAAGAATAAAGATTTTTCTGTTATCAATTTATCAATTCAGACCAAAATACTAAACGAAACATATATAACAAAAACGATCCTTTCAGCTGGATACTATAACATTAGTAATATTTTCATATTATACATTGTGTTTTCTAAAGGTACCACAACAAACCTTACATGCACAAATAACTCGATAAGCGTTTATATTTATTTTTGCAGCTGTCAAAGTACAGCTGTCAAACTTCGGCAACAACAGAACGAAATTGAAAAAAAGCAAAAGTACCGTGCCGTCCCGACAGCCGACAGCCTTCGTAAGTTCGTACTTACACCGTAATTACTACATCGTACCGCCTTCCGAAACTCGCGCTGGTAATGGTGTGCGATAATGACCTGGCTCTGGCTCCTGCAAAACAGCTCTGGCTAAAAGCTTAAGCGATTTCCATATCGTTTGCCAACAATAATAATCAATCAAGCGGGCTGACTGCACGCTTGACTGCTAGTTTGGAATCGGTGCAATTAGTCGCCATATTGCCTCCCTTCCTCTCACAAACTCTATGCGATGAGATTGCTATAGTATTTGCTAGAGTAGCTTTTTTAAGCATTACAACCCCTTTATTACCAAAGAAACTATAAATAAAAGCGCTATTAATTCACTGTCTTCTTCACAAGTTAGGGCTAAGTATGTATGCAATTTCGTTTTCCAATTTGAAGAGATAGAAGGTTTTCATACTTGAATGAATAGTTTGTATTTTATGTTCTTACTTTAATTTTATATCCAGTGAATTTAGGTATCATTTCTTTGCGAAGTAGCTAAAATTACATTTCTCTATTTGTAGTTAGAGTTACATAATGGAGTCATTCTAATTTTGCAATCTATTCGAACAATATTGATGAGAAAATTAATTACGAGATCAAAATGCCTTTTTCAAGTTTATAGGAAAAAACACTCTTCGACCAAGTGAATAAAACAAAACAAATAAGATGATACGAATAAAAGTAATACGAAACTGTTAGGTATTACGAAGTAACAACCCTTTAGATTCATCCATTCGGGAATATTTGAGCGTTTAATTTATAATTGGTTTAATTCAACAACGATATTAAAAACAAGGGATCCCTCCCTCCGCGAAGTGAAGGAGATTTATTGAAAATTCACCTTCATAATGAAAATAATAGATTTTAAAATCAAACAATTGGAACTCAAAGCATACTCTTAAATTGTTGAGAAAATATTAATCAAAACAATAAGACTTCTTCGAAAATCCGTCTTTAAATATTTTACACAACAAAATACTTACCTACCTAATTACGGCATTATCCTCAAGTCTTTTACATGTCGTCATGGAGTGCAATTTGTGATCAATTCGATAAAATTCGATTCGACTATTATCCCGACGTGACGTTCGGAATTTTAATTTCGGTCTGGTCTGGGGTAGTCACCCCCTGACCCCCGATAATAATTGTAAATGACTCACCAACAACACGCCACGCCATGCTAATACGTACCTACCTACTCTACTGCTGCTTGCTGTTTGCGTCGACTTGAATAAGTTATGGCTTCCTCTCAACTTTGTCTGTGTTTACAAGCGCACTCCTAGTTGGATAGCATTGGTATGCTTTAATTGTCCCTACAGATCGCGATTAAAAATTCATGGCAGTCTTTATCTTTAAATACTTTTATGTTTTTAAAAGGGTCTAAATGACTCAACATAGAGCGACAGAATTGCGGCTTAAGTCCACGTTGCTCTATCTCTGGTGACCCGACAGAAATACGGTAAGACAGAAAATATCTAACCAATATAAAACATCTACCGCCTTATTTCAAAACGTGGACTAAATTTAGGCTTGGTTTAAACCTAATACTGTCTCTGTCTTCATTTTAGCCAATAAAGGTAACCGTATCATTTTTAGACCGAGTTTAATTTTAGTCTACGTTTTGTAATAAGGCAGCTATAGGTGTCGATTCTGGCATGTATCTAAACTTAAATTTAACATCAGCCTCTCCTTTTCATTCTGTATAGAGAATAAGAAAGATATACTGTTGTCAAGTTAAAGTTTAGGTTTAGAGAATCATGCCAGAAGCGATACCAGAGTCTAGGTAAGTTTTATTTCAAAGAAAAACAATATATCATGGCCAACTACCATATCCTGGACGGTATTCTGACCTACGATTTGGGTCCTAGCTTCACCGAAACTTTCATTAATTGTAAAACATCAACAAAAATCTTGAAACGGGAAGAGAACTTGCTGAGGAGCGGTCTCATTGAACTTGGTTTTACCTAAACTGCGACTATATAACGACAGTGGAAAAGCAAATTCACATATACGCCACTTTGGTGCTGCTTAAAAATAACATTTAATAAAACTGAAATTAAGCAACACCAAAGTGCGACTTTTTGGCGGGATCGGGAAGCATCACTTTAGCAGTTTTGTTTTTCTTGTTAAAAATTGTGTTGTGGCGGATGTTAGTGTCTAATAATGGTGGATTATTAACCACCAAGTGTTCGGGAACATGCACAAGTGTTGGCAAGTGAAACAAAATAGCGGAAAGTGTCTTTCGACGTTCCCTCAAGGAGCCCACGGGGAGGTTCCAGTATATCCCCACACTTTTACTGAAACATAGGGAAAGGGGGATTGACTTGACTGCCATACTTTGACTTGATTTATTACTTTGACCACGAGTGCTATAGTACTTGTAAACATTTTAACACTTGACATTGGCTAAATGCACAAGCCGTGCGAAGCCATTTAGGGGGAAAAAAATAAAAATATGAATATGAATAGTTTAGTAGGGCTACCGTTTTCTGATCTTTCAAACTTTAGCTTTACTTGCATTAGGATCAATCAAATTATAATATTTTGCCAAAATCTGTTCCAAGTCTCTAGCGTATAAATGAATCATGAAGGAAAATATTGTCATTTTGCTGAAGCTATCAATTTGACTTAAGAAACAAAACTTCGCCAAACTGTCTTCAAACAAAAAGTTGCTCCAAACTACGTAACTCTGCGTGATGTGATGTCGATTCGAAAAATCCGAAAGTATTGGATAACTTGATGGATGGACCATTTATAGGTTTTTTCCTTTACTTAATCCCACTTGCACCGTTCTGAAATCAAATTAAAAGCTAATCATGTTTAAGGCTCATGAACATTTTATTTGACTTTAAAACAATTGAGAAAGATGAAATGATGTGTTAAGCAGGATTAAGAGTTAATTTGAATTAAGTATGTTAGTGCAAGTGGCTTTTAAATTACTAACTTATTACGTGATTTAAGAGAATCCGAAATCTATATTAAAATAAACCTGAGAGTGGTAAGTAACTGTATAACATATTCCGTTAATACTTAAGATATATAAATAAATAAGTTAGCAGTAAGGTAAATAGCTACGTATATAACTATTTATAATACGAATACAGGGTTAATTTTAAAACACCATCAACCTCTTAGGGGGTGATTCTACCCATCAACAGGAACAATTTTGATTGTGGGACCTGTAAAATCATCATCGGAAAAAAATCTGCTGTTTCATACAAAACTGCATCAGCTAATCGACTGAAATGTATGAACCAGCTAATTTTTTTTTCGCGATTTCAGGGTTGGTCCCATGACAAAAGTTGTTACTATTGATGGGTAGTATCATCCCCTAAGAGGTTGTTGGTGTTTTAAAATTAATGTATAATACTGTACCTTGAATACGTTAAGAAAAACGAAGAAATCGAATCTTACGAAGTTGTAATAATAGCTTATATAAATCAGTCTCTATGCACATGATATCTCATCATGCTAATATTGTAGATAAGTACAGGAGTAAGTTTGTATGTTTGTGAACCTTCGGTTTCGCACTTAGCAGCTTAGAGGGTATTCGCAGGGTTTTTAGCGGATATTATGCCGTGAAGCGCCCATATGAGTTACGGGGTCCTCAGTGGGCAGCCACTGCGGGGGTTTGTAAGGCTTGCTGGAGCCAGGTGTGAGGTCAGTTCGGCGGGGTGCCTCTTTAAGGCGTCGTCGTCTGTAAACGGAGGTTTGTGATGCAGGCATCACAAAAAAAAGGTGGACCACGGGTAAGAAACGCAGGGTCTCAGAGAACGTTTTGTATTTCTAACTTGGCAAGCGCGCGGATAAGTCAAATACTTGTACTTACATTTTAGTGCCGCTACGAGTAATATATAGCTGCGCTCTGTAACAAAGACAAATAAGAATTCAGTCAGTATAAAAAATCACTTTATTGTAAGTTGACTTAGATATTCACTTATGGCTAAAGTGCCTAAATTCATTTACTATATAACTTATTATTACCACAAAATAGTCATGTGTTGCAATTGCAAACCAGTTTAAGAAAACATGACATACAAATTCGCTTAAGCGTGGTTTGCAACCATAAAAATTATGTTTTATTTGAATGTAAATATGTATAGTTATGCGCCTTTTTAATCTTTGTTCTCCAGGAAAAATAACATTATCAACGATAATAGACGGTAAAAATGGAAGAGTCTTACTAAGGCTGTTAACCAAATTTTTTCATAACACAATGTTCCTCATACCAATTTCGTGAAAAAGCTACAAAAAAAAATACTACTATTAGTGTCAACTTCATATATTGAGCAAAGTATAAGATCACGACATTATTTTTTTTATAGGTTTTTCGCTAAATGGGGGGGAATTCTCGGAGGCATAACGTTCGTCGGCAGCTGCGGGGGTCTAATTCTGAGTGCACACGCTTGACCGCTAATGGATTAGTCCAGCGCACCGAGACACTGTTGCGGATTTACGAACTCGTGTAACATTCCAATACTGACGAACGAAATGAAATTAAAAAGATAAAGAAATAAATTTATAACATAACAGACGCATTGCTCAAATAAAAAAAACGAGCGTACCTTACAGTAGTCGCGTATGACGTGTAACAATTGAAACCTCACCTTATATTAGTAAAAAAAGAAATAAAACGTACTACAAAAGGAATAAGAAATTTGAACATTATGTTCTAAAATCAAATCAAATAGCGCGCGCTTTCGCGACTTCCTGTTACACACTTCCGTCCCATTTCACAAAATCACTCCCACAAATTGCAGAAAAGCGAGAGGAAAGATGTTACACATCAAAAAATAAGTAGCCGAAAACATAATCTTATTTGCATATAGTTAACATTAAGTACAGAAATGGTATTACAACCAACCATGCTCGATACAAACAAAAAAAAACATTTATTTCACATAAAATCGATTGGAAATTTACACGGGGCATCCAATGATCTTTATCTTTAAATAATGTCATTGGGGGTATCAGTTGACGAGACAGTTCGCCTTTCTGCTAATACAAACTTTCTTTTTATTTGTTCATTGATTCGTAAGGAGTCAAAATGTATTTATGATTCAAAAGGAGTCATGAAATGCAAAGTATTATACATGAGGCAAAAAAGAAAAAACATTTATTTCACATAGAATCGATTGGAAATTTACACGGGGCGTCCAATGATCTTTATCTTTAAATTAGCGGCCCGCCCTCGCTTCGCTTCGGTGTAGAGCTGAAGTGTAGACTATAGTTTTTGTTCTCAGGCTTGTATTATACACAATGACATTCATCTATGATTCTTCTTATACCTGCATGCAAAGTCTCAGCCCCATCGGTTTAAAATTGACAAAGTTTCATACAAACTAGGCATGCGTCCGATATATCAAAACGAATCCAAAATCCGATTTCAAACACAAATCGATACCGAACGATTTCTCAACAAGAAAATCCGATTTCAGAAATCTAACCGAACCAAAACCAAATACCACAAGTATCCAAATCTAAATCGGATTCGAAATTCGTGCTTTCGTTTTCGGAAGTAAGATTTCGTGCTCGGAACTCCGATTTCGATTTGCTGTTTACGGAAATCTATTGCTGTTCTCTGAGGCGGGATTATTTATCACTGAAAAGATATGTCGTCTAAAAACATCAAAAGTCGAGCAACTTACATTTTTGGACGCTAACCTGAAGTAATTAGGTTTGATTTTGTAAATGGTTTGAAAAATAATAAAAACAAACAGAATAACAAATAAAAATACTAAAAAATATGTAAAAAGAAATCATTGTATAAAAGCCGATTTTTAAATGCGCCGCAAAAGTTTTACTCTTAACTGTAAACATAACTTTTCTGCTAGTCCTAAGCCTAGATTTAAAGCATGAAGGAAAATCGCGAATATCTACGAGTATCCTTGCTTCCTACAATTAATTGTTTGTGATTGTCGTTAGCTAATAAAACCAAATCATAACACAAACTAGTGAATTGGCTAAGTTCAGCACATCTGAAATCGGATATTTAAAAACGGATTTTAAAATCGATTTTGAAATCTAAAATCCGATAAATATCCGTTTGCGTTCAAAACCAAAAACGCCCATGTCTAATACAAACTTTCATTCCCTATTTTATCCCCTTGGAGGTAGAATTGATCAAAATCCTTTCTTAGCGGATACCTCCTCTTCCTACGTCATAACATCTACCTGCATGCCAAATTTCAGCCCGATCCGTCCAGTGGTTTGGGCTGTGCGTTGATAGATCACTATGTCAGGCAGTCACCTTTGAGTTTTATATATATTGATAATGTCATTGGGGGTATCAGTAGACGAGCGAACTGTCTTTCTGCTAATACGAACTGTCTTTTTATTTGTTCATTGATTCGTAAGGAGTCAAAATGTATTTATTATTCAAAAGGAGTCATAAAATGCAAAGTTTTATACATGAGGCAAAAGGTAAAAAACAGGAAGTGACAGTCGTTGCAGTCGTTGCAGTTTGCAAACCAACTGAATCCGTTAAAAGATGAGGTTACAAACTTTTCTCCTCCCCTTAGATCAATAAAAAAAACATAACCCTCCCCTATTTCAGCAATAAAGCAAGTCATGATTGTCATTACAGCCAAAAAGCATTAGTAATTCGAGCTAGTTTGAAGTGGAAACGCAGACGGCATGTTATGACGAACACTTAGTGGAAATGGCGGGATTTCTACGGCGGCATACGGAGCAAACTTTCGCGCGCATTACACATAGGTATATGTGAGTAAGTAGAACGCACTCTAGCTAGGTTTAAGGTATGCTCTAAGATCCGAACCTACATCGACGAAAATGGGTTGCCTTAAAAAAACCTGGACAGACTATTATTAATTAATTAAAAAAAATGTTGCATCATCAAGATAATAAAAAAACGTTGTCCTAAAAACAGTATAAAACATATAAAATGTGCAGCTCTTTTCTTTTTCAGCGCTTTTCTATTATTTAACTGAGTGAACTACTGGGTTGCCAGGTATAAACAACGGCTGCACATTCTATACGTTTTATAACTTTAAGTCAGGACAACAGTTTCTTATTATCTTGAGGCAGCAACTTTTTTTTTAATAATTAAAAATAGTCTGTCCAGGATTTTTGTAGGCAACCCATTTTCAATATATTTTCTAATATAATAAAGTAATGATAAAATATGTTTCATTCTATTAACAACTCGGTGAAAGTCGATGTAGGTTCGGATCTTCTTCTAGTAACAGTTAGTTTGCTGTCAAAAGTGTCTAAGGATCAACTTTCGAAATGGCTGGTCATTGGATGGATGACCAAAAACTCATTATCTTGATCTTGAGCTGCTCCGAACTTCAGAATGCAAGTTAAGCCGTTGGTCCTGGCTGCATCTGCATACGTTAGCACCCATCAATCAAGATTGGGTCCGCGTGGTGGGTCATGCAACAATCTTCTTATTCCCTCCATAGGAAAGACCTGTACCCCAGCAGCAGGGACAATAATAATCTGAGATAATGATTGTAGTTACTGATTTGCATTACAAATAAGCTTTGACCATGCGTGTGAGCTGTGGAAGTGGAAAATGGCGGAATACCAAACCTAATTTATTTGAATGTGAATTTACTGCATGTTTTTTCCGTAGTTATTCCAATTTATGAATAATTATTCTGCTGTGTTATTCTGGGCGCAGACGAATCCAAAAAATCAGAGATCATTAAAGTCGGTTCAGTGGATTCAGCCGTTCTTGAGTTATAAGTGGTGTTACTAACAGCTAACACGACTTTCTTTTATATATACAGATAAGTAGGTATTGCGTGTACAAGTAAAAACATTTGTCAAGTATGAAGGGTCATAGGGAAATTCAGCAGCTCATAGCAGAAGCAGAGGCGGCTAATTCGCGGCCGTTATAAAAGTTTCGCACATACACCCAGGGGGCCGATGTACTAACGGTTTAATGGGCACACTGCCACCCAACCGTGCAAGACATGCTCCCCTTTTTAGTGGTGTTAAAGCGCATTGCCGTTTTGTGGATTATGAAATATGATGCTGTCCGATAGTTAAACAAGGAGTTTTTATGATGCTCTAAAATTTATCACAGCCGTTAAATATTTGAAGGACTTCGTTTATGAATAAACTTCTGAAGACTATCCTAGTTAACAAATTTTAGTACTGTTATATACATAGATTAGTGTAAACTACTGGTGGTTTTACAAAAGTAGCAGGTTATTTTGTCAACTTCGACGGAAGTCAGAAAAAACTTTCACAGTTTCTACAGAAACCTACTTGTACTGACATTTATCTGCTAAAGTTTGATTACTAGATACGATGAAAGTTCAAATTTATCCTGCCTTTATCAAGAAGTAGTAAAGAGTTTGTAAAAAAAAAGGTTCAAAGCTTGTCTAACGTCCAATTTTAAGTCGCGAAGTCCTCCAGATGGGAGTTATGAGCCAACTTTTGAGAGTCAGCTAGATAGGAGGAAACAAAAATATATAAGCTTAGTCCAAGTAAATTAAAAACCAGAACCTTGCATAACGACCAGGCTTGTTGCGGATTCAAAAATGTTGACATCCGCGGATGCGGATTACAGTATATTATAAAGATATTTAAATTTTCAGTTTAAAAATAAATGTTTATTAAAAAAAAGCACTATTTTAATGTTTATAAATTTTCAAGAGTAGGTAAAACTAAAACCGTTTCCGGTCTTATTTAGTATCGCTTTAACTTGTTGATATGAATCCGCCCGCATCAGTAAAAGCTCCGCATCAATTGGTACTGATGCGGATGTCTGAATTAATGAGAATATTTCGCATTTGCGGAGGCGAAAATCCGTAACACCCCTGATAACGACTGACGTCAATCACCAGACTTTTACAAGAAACCTAGGTCTTATCGAAGCTAAAGAAAACCAAAAC